GCTGTTGTTGCTGCTGAAGCTGCTGCTGCTGCAATTGAAGCAATTGTTGCTGCTGATGATGAAGAAATTGCTGCTGATGCTGTTGGAGCAAAAGTTGCTGCTCTTGTTGTGATAGTTGCTGGAACTGCTGCTGCTGAGCTAGCTGTTGTTGCTGCAGATAATACTGTTGTTGTTGCTGCAGATAAAGCTGCTGTTGTTGCTGCTGTTGCATGTATAGAAGCTGCTGATACTGTTGTGTTTGCTGAACCTGTTGATTCTGTTGGTGATAAGGCGCTAATTGGTCCTGCTGTGTTTGTTGGTTAGACTGCTGATTCTGTCGCTGCCGCTGCTGTTGTTCAGTTGAGATTTGTTGATTCAGCTGCTGTGATGGATTCATTTGTTGCAACTGATCAATCTTTTGTTCCTGCTGTGATTTATTCTCTTGTTGTTGACTTTGTTGTAGCTGCTGCTGTTGCTGAAGATAATAATATTGTTGCTGGTAGTACTGCATGATATGGGGGGGAATTCCCTGGCTATTCTGAATAGATCCATACTGTTGTTCATTACTCTGCAGAGACTGCTGATTGACTTGAAACTGAGATTGAGGCTGAGCGTCTGATTGCTGTTGAACATATGCATAGGCTTGTTGCTGCCCACTCTGGCTAGACCATGAAAAATTACCCACTGGGTAAACTTGAGCAGTGCCCATCTGATACTGACCAAACATTTGGTTAGCCTGAGGTTGATATGTATGACCTTGGGTCACCGTCATTTGTACGTTGGTTCCTGTTTGATTCAACTGTGGGAGGCCTTGCCACTGTTGAGATTGAGAAGACTGAACATAATACATCTGAGGCCAGTTTCCAGAACTACTTGGATTTTGAGAATATGCTACACTGCAAGGTAAAGCCTCCAGCATAGTTGTCTGTGGATTAGGCTGAACTTGTACCTGTGGATTTGATCTAGATACAGGAGTTGAGTCGCAAACTGAATGCAAAGTGCTGTTGTTACCCTGAACTTCAGAAGGGGTAGAAGGTTTAGTGTCTAGAGGATCAGGAACACATATTGCTGAGACCTCTTCGTTCTTGCTTTCAGCCAGAAGTACATTCTCTCCCGCTCTAGACGTTTCTTCCTGAGGAAACTTACTATCAAGAAAACTAGTAGGCTGGGACTGCACGGTCTTATTATCTGGAAATTTTGTAGGCAAATTTTCAATTGAAGGTGGTCTTAAACCATCACCAAGCTCCTGCGGAGGATGGCCTTGAACTTGGTTTTCAACTTTGGAATAGTCCAGGGTTGCTTCAGGAATTGGAGCTGCACCTTCCAAGCGTAGTTCAGAACCTTCTGGTATAGAATGCATTTCCACGTCTTGAGAAACTTCTACAAGTTCCTTTTTTCCCTTATGATCATTTATTGTAGACTGATTTTGTGTATCTTCAGCAACTTCTGCCAGTTCTCTTCCCGTATTATCATTAATAGACTGCTTTTTCATATCTTTAGCAACTTCTACCACTACCAGTTCCTTCCTGTTATTGTCATTTAGAGATTGTTTTTCCACATCTTCAGCAACATCCACTAGTTCCCCTCTCCTCTTGGTAACATTTATATTGTCTTGCAAGTTGTCAGTTACCATTGCTTCAGAGGAAGTGTGATTGTTTTCTTCAGGGGATAGACAGTCAGATACATGCGCTCTTGAGCCATCATGACCATCGTTTCTACAAGCTTGATAAGATACAGGATTGTGTATCTGCTTGTTTCCCATCACTTCTTTGACGGAGAGAGTGTTGCTAATGGGACTGCAATGAAATTTTGCAATAGGTTTCATCATATCTGGAAATAGTTTCCTGTGACGCTCCCATACCTTTCTGACTTGATGAATACTTCCATAAAGGTCTACAAACTGTTGGAAATTAAAATACCATGAGAAAACTATAACTCTGGGAAGACACTTCAAAAGAAACATAATTAAGGACATGTGCCTTTATACTGGGGATTATGGTCCCACCTACAAAAGATACTTTCTCAGGAATTAAGTATCAAACAGTTTCTTGCACAGAATGACAAAGCAATCAAACCCTTAATTAAATCTGGTAAGGTGAAATTGGTACGTAAGATGTTGATTAGCTCCATTAGTGTTAAACAAAGTACGTAAGATGTTGATTAGCTCCATTAGTGTAAAACAAAGTATGTAAGATGTTGATTAGCTCCATTAATGTTAAACAGAGTATTCAACGCACAAAATGCATCACTATGAGTTGCATAACCAGTCTAACTCAAACCCTTCATATGTCAATTTTTTTGGCGTGTCAAACCATTAGAAAACAGATATTCACGCATGTTGAGAACCCTCCACAATGCTCCAACAACATGTCAAGCTATCGTGACAAGGAGATACCAAGTTCTACTAGACGTCAATGCTTCACATGAAAAATGTCAAGTTGAACTCATACAAAGTGAATTCTAAATCAATTTATCAAGCAATTGACTAAACTATTTTGCTGATATTTTGAGTCAGAAATATATAAACACAATAATAAAACAGTCATCTTTTGTATCAATTATTAGAAGGTTACAATGTTGAAGCTTACTGGCACACAGCTACTTGACATCATGCAGACATGGACAGAACAATGTACCTAACAAGCTTAAGATGCAAAGCAAGGGCAATCTCCTCAATGAAGTGAAGCACAAATTGCTGCTTCTTGCAATAAGCACAAATTGCTGCTTCTTGCAATTTCCAAATCAACTTGTCAAATTATGAAGTACAAAACATCACACAAAACTACTTTAACTAAATAGCAAACATATATAGTACAACTATAACTAAGACATTAATAAAAAAATGCCAAATATACTCATATTGGTGTATAAATCGTTACTTTTAAGCAATTATGTTGCACCCTTTTTTGCATCACATAATTGATATATCTTTATAATTACAAAAAATGTCGCTGAAGTGAGTAGACTGCCTGCCTTGTGCCCTGGACTATCATTGTGCATCACTGTGCATTCAAAACAAAGGTTGCAAGTACGGACCATGATTTGTCCATGACATCAGAACTTCATAGCCTCTTTTCGCATCAATATCATAGTTTTTAATACCTCTTGTTCTAATCGGAATATCATATTTTTAGAACTGAAAGATTATTTTTAAAAAATAATAAAAATGAAAATGAACTTTTTACATATTTAATTTCAACTTGGTTACATCTAAAATAACTTCACCGAAAAACTTACATGACACAGCATAAGCAATAATATGTTAAATAGTAATTATGATATTGATGCCAAGGTTTTAAATATCGGATATCGGAAAAATATCGGATGGCCAAAATTCATATCGGATTGCGGATATCGGGTAAATATCGGGAATATGTGGTAAATATCGGAATGTCATAATGAATGTTTGCATACATAGTGTAATGCATTAAAATGTAATCTCAACATATGTAATGAAATTTAAGCATACAAAATATGAATAATATATGTTTAGGATCACTAACCAACCTTCTAAAACAAACAAAAGTGCAAAGCAACGTTGTAACATTCGATCTGCTTTTTTTAGGGCAAAATATCATTTGATATAATGGGAAAATCTTGATATATCGCCCAAAAATTCCAAACACGGTATATTATTTTGCAACAAGCTATATAAAAAGATATATTGATCCACATATCGGCTAATATATCGGCCATATCGGGGATTTATCACTCAAAATAGCCAAAAAGCCGTAAAGGATATTTAAAGACCATATCGGTTGCGACAAGCCCTGTAAAAAGATATATCGGGGGATATATCGGGCCATGTCGGGGATATTTAAAACAATGATTGATGCTAATAACTCGTAAACAAGAAAAAAAAAACACTTAATCCAATAATTATGTTTCCTCGAATCTCTTTTGGGTATAGGTAAACCATTGAGCAAAATTAAATTTCATATATTATTGCTTCAAATTTGAATGGATACCAAATTTTTATACATTTGGTTGAGTTCTTTGATTCACCTCATGTTTTGAGTTCATTACAATTATTTTTTGTTATTATGTTTAGTCTTCATAAATTAATTATCCAGATTTATCTAATGAAAAGTTTAGATTAGCAATATTTATGATTCTTTTGCTAATATCAATTCCATTTTGATCTTACTTCTTTGTTCATAATAGTTTCCCGATGAGGCGCTTTATGGTTGTACCTTGAGATTGTCCTCGGTCTTTAACGTTTCTATTTTTATTCTAGATATTAGTAAAAGGGTTTTTTACCATATATGTCTCTCTCTCTTGTGGTTAAATACTTAAAATTTGGTATAGATTTTTTTGATGATTATATCCTAAAATATTACTTAATTTCCACACATTACATAGAAAAATCTATGCTAATGGATTGATGTAGAATAATTTCATGGGATTTTTCTATATTAGTCCCTTAATCTTACAAATTTGAAAATTATGACCTCAAATCATCAAATTTGCTATTAGGTTCCCCAATAATTAGGATATCTTGAAATTAACCCCTTAAATCATTTAAATTATTATTAGGTCCCCCAACTCTAAGTTATTTTGAAATTAGTCTGTCCAATCGAGAGTAGAAGTAGCAATTAGAGAGATTAATGTGAAACAATGCAAGAGGATTACAGGATTTGGTAGCAATTTCAATAATCAAGAGTAGTAGTAATTAGAGAGATTAATTTGAAACAATGTACGAGAATTAGGGGACCTAATAACGATTTCAATGATTTGAGGGTCTAATTACCATTGTTTTAAATATCCCCGACATGACCCGATATATCCCCCGATATATCCTTTTACAGGGCTTGCCGCAACCGATATGGTCTTTAAATATTCTTTACCGCTTTTTAGCTATTTTGAGTGATAAATCCCCGATATGACCGATATATTAGCCGATATGTGGACCAATATATCTTTTTATATAGCTTGCTGCAAAATATACCGTGTTTGGAATTTTTGGACAAGATATCAAGATTTCCTCATTATATCAAATGACACTTTGTCCTAAAAAAGCAAATCGAATGTTGCAACGTTACTTTGCACTTTTGTTTGTTTTAGAAGGTTGATTAGTGATCCTAAACATATATTGCAACGTTACTTTGCACTTTTGTTTGTTTTAGAAGGTTGATTAGTGATCCTAAACATATATTATTCATATTTTGTATGCTTAAATTTTATTACATATGTTGAGATTATATTTTAATGCATTATACTATGTATGCAAACATTCATTATGGCATTCCGATATTTACCACATATCCCTGATATTTTCTCGATATCCGCAATCCGATATGAATTTTGGTCATCCGATATTTTCCCGATATCCGATATTTAAAACCTTGCTAATTACAAAATATGAAAGATTTAAGGGACTATTATCATAAAAACCCTAATTTTATTAGGGACAATTTTTTAAAGGACTTTTGAAAACAATTAGCTAAATCGACAATTTTGCTAAATAATTAGCAAAATCGACCTCTTTTTTGCCACGTAATCAAGGCTAGCTAAAAAGAGGTCAGTTTTCAAAGTAAAAAAACGTCTTCGAAATACATGAGTAGTCCCATGTAATTAGCATTTGCTATTACGAGATTAATCAAGTACAGAATATACACGGGACTATCAGTCCCGTGTATTCTGTAGACAACCTAAAAAATACATAGGACTAGTAGTTGTTGATGGACAACAAGACCTATTATGACCTAGTTGATTCCATTAACTACACTTAATCCGTTCTGTCAATCCTTCACATCCTTATCCATAATACCTCTAATGCGCACAAATCGAGATCGTCCTGCTTGTCTATTGTACTGAGGTGGTAATAAACGCGGTCCATCATAAGTCGGCCAATAGAGACTATCATCGGGAGGATAAAAACTCTCCTCGTATGTATTTCGGTAATGATTTGTTGAATATCAAGTAACATTCATATGACATTCTAGCATGATTGACTTGATTGGAACTTGACGCTAAAATATGTTCACATGGCAATTTTTGCTACACTGGTATGTTGCAAATGCAATTGCACTCTTGGTCAAAAAGATAAACAATGTAAGTACCTACACAATCTTTAACCTCCTACTCATTGTCATTGAACGGAATAATTCTACATGATCTTATAGCCACAATCCTTTTCGCAAAATTCTCTCATTTTTTGGGGTGTAATTCGTCCAACTTGCAATCAATGCGCTCAACCGATAAAATGTCCTTGCAATCAATGCTTGAATTAGCATAGCTCGGGCATCCTTAAGTACGCCATTAAAAATCTCGGAGTAATTAGTTATCATCATAAAGTAGCGCACCCCACCATTTTTACTTAACGCTCATTGATCTACGTATTGTGGTTTCAAGTTTTATTGAATCCAGTTGTGTCTCTACTGATAGTGACTTAATATTATCCCTATAGTGCTGATACACTAACGTGTCTGTTGCACACCCGATTGCAACAATAGGTTTTGTAAATTAAACATCTCCGTATTTTTTCTTAAAATTATCTCTAATATGCCTGAAGCAATATCAATGATGTCGTGCTCCAAAGCCCTCATGCAACACCCGTGGAATTCCTTTCATCATGTCGGATATAGAAGTAATTGTTCTAGGACTTTGAACGGTAGGAATTAGCCAGTATAAACATTAAAAATTTGAAAGAACCACTTTCAACTCAATGTGTTATTTACCTTAACAACTGCAAAGGCTAAAGGAAATAACCCACTATTTACATCTACAATGGTCGCAACCAGAAGCACTCCTTTGTATTTGGGATATAAATGTGTTTCATCGATGCTCAAAAGTGAACGACAAAATATAAAGCCCTTGATAGCAGGACCAAATACCTAAAATACTCACATGAACCTCTCGCCCACAGTGCAATCTCATTAGACAATATTTCGTATTCAA